ATGTTTGCTTCAACACTGCTTTTTTATTATCCCAGCATCACTGCTAATAATTCTCAGACTATTCTTTCTGAAATTAACAGCACAGTTTGGCCCTGTAAAGGAGCAAAACATTTTACTCAACCTGTTTAAGGTGCTTGGTGGGATCTGAAAATTAGGCCGACAAAGACATATTAACAGGAGAAAGGTATACACATTATATTAAGTTTTTACATATACCTGGGAGCCTTCACTAGAGAATGAAGGCCTGAAGTGACTAGAGCAGACAGCTTTCTACCTTATAGACAGATAATACATTTGTGAAGAATTGAGAAGACAAAGGGATTTGGAGCAGGGGTAGTAACTGATAAGAAGTAACTAGGAAGATAATGATGAGTTAATAGGTTTGTTTGCCAGTTTTTCTGGTTTTGACTCTGGGCTGGTAAAAAATCTGTCTACAATACAAAGGCAATTTACTCATTGCCTTTAGACAAGTGGTGATGGGGGCAGGAAGCTTTCTCTGCTTCTTAATTGTCTTTAGCTCAGAATAATTTTTATGCCAGAGGCATATTTTGGGGTGACATATGCTAGTTTCCTTTAGTCTTTATTTTATTTTATTATATCTAATTTCTGGAGAAGTAGATTTTGGACCCCAGTTTTCATTATTGGCACAAGAACTATCTTTTAGTGAATGTGTGGATGGTATTTTTATAAGACATAAAATATTTTAAGTTAAAATTGGCAGTAACTTTAAAGTAAGAAGATGATACCTATTAAAGTTAGATGGGGGAGTTCAAGTGCATGTAAAGAACAGAATGGTTTACAAAGGCAGGTTGTTCTAAATCAATGTCCAAGTTTGAATTGATAAGACTAGAGAATTTTTCAGTCTTGTCTGTCTTCTCCCTTAATCTTTGGTAGCTAATTTATCTTTTCACATCTTTATCCCCACAGCTAAGCCCCTCTTCTGATAGCTACATCCATTCATTTGATTTATTGGTACTTTATTATGATTCTAGTTCTTTTTCTCTATCACCAGGTCCCTGATCATTCTAACTGGATTCTGATGTTTTTCTTTATTTTTAATTGAGGACTCCATGCACACAAGAAGCTTGCCATAGAAGGATTAGAGAGTAACCTATATTTCAGATCAGCAGCCAATCAACAATGGTCTCTAGGTCTAGAAATGAGACATGCCCCTCACCACAAGTCCAAGCTTATTTCCTCATTAGGGATTCTGGTTGTTCACAAGCGGTTTTGAAAATGAGTGGTTGTCTAGTTAGCCTAGACTGCCTTAACAAAATACCAGAAGCTGGGTGCCTTAAACAATAGAAATGTACTTCTCACGTCTGGAGTCTGGGAAGTTCAAGATTGAGGTGCTGGCAGGTTTGGTTCCTGTTAAAGGCTCTCTCCCTGGCTTGCAAGCAACCACCTTCTCACTGTGTCCTCACATAGTAAAGAGAGAGAGTACTGGTCTCTCTTCCTCTTCTTAGAAGGTCACAAATCCCATCATGGGGACTCTACCCTCATGACTTAATCTAAACCTAATCACCCCCAAAGGATGCCACTTCTAAATACCATCATTTTAGGAGTTAGGGCTTTAGCTCATGAATTTGCAACGAGATAAACATTCAGGCCTTTATAATAAATAGCATAAAGTGATTTGCATAAAGTGAAAAGAATAAAGTGATTTGCAAATTGAAGGTATTTTTATTAGTACTTGTTACATTTTTTTTATTGGCAAATTTTTAAACATTTCCCCAGTGCCTTGGTTTCTAAGGAAACAAAATTTTTTTCCTGAGCAATGTTCAGAAAAATAAAGATCTGGTGCAATTTGAAATTTAATAAGGGAAATAGCAAATGTGCAGAGCATTGGGACTCTGTGACAATATATACTATATACTGCAGCAGAATCTTGCACTTCAACACTGAAGCTCCAGTTTTTACTGTATTGATGCCCTATTATAGTGTGTAAATATTATCATGCACTAGAATATATTAACACCTTACAGATTACATAGCAGAAAAGGGAACTTTGAGAGAATGGGAAGCAGGAAAGATCAGTTTTGAGGGACGGAGATGACCTGGCAGGGTGGGCCCTGCAGTACTAAGAATGGGGTGGGATGAGGAAAGGGTGAACAATCTTCCCTGAGGTCCTCCAGCAGCTTCCAGAACAGAGGAGTGAGTAGCAGGCATAGGAGTGGTAAGAAAGCACTCGATTTAGATATTAAAAACCCTCTTTTCCACACTATGGTTAGGGAAAGAGATCAACTAAAGGACTTGTGTGCATGCATATGGGCCTGGCCAGTGGCCAAGGACAACGGGGGGGGGGGGGGGGGGCAGGGGGAAGGAGGGGGGAAGGGCATATGTAGGGAGGAGTTTGGGATGGGAATGGGGGTATGAGGACAATTATGTGATACCATAATCAATAAAATGGGGGGGGGGGAGAGAAAGCACTGGAACACGCGTACGCTATGCCATTATTGGAGGGTGGACTGATGTTAGAGAATGAGGAGGCACACAGTCAAAATAGACTTTCCTCCTTCATAGCTAATGCTGCCTTGATTGGCACCAACCATGTGCAGTAGCGAGCATATAATGTTGAATGAATAGTCAAATAAGTGATTAAGTCAAGTGAATGTATTCAGTCACCCTGCCCCTGGCAGCAGTACATCTCCTGCCCTACATCCTCAAGCTCTGCAGAGTTTCAGAAGTTCTGCAGAGTGTTAGGGGTGATCAGGAAGGCAGGTAGGCAAGTGGTTAGGGGCATCAAGCAGGCAAGCAGAGTGGTTAAGGGCAATGAGGCAGACAGGCAGGTGAGTGGTTAGGAGCTAGTAGTCCCGGATTGAAACTCATTGGAAGAAGGTTCTAGAAGAAATGAAGACTGGCGAGACGTGGTGTCAGTTGCCAAGAGGGGACATTTTGGGATTTTGGTTTACCTAGGGAGGGATTATTTAAACAATATAATCACCAAAATGTAGTTTCTCCCCAGTTGTTTCAATTTCTTTTCACTCTTTTGATTGCTTTTTATTTCTCCTGAGCATCTTCCTTTTCTTGCCTATATTGCTTAGTTTGCTTTGGAAACAAGACATTATTCAAGTACAGTTATCTCTTGGAATGACCCTAGATAACACATAGGCCTTTACAGCTGCAATTGTGTTTAGGTATCTGTGGTTTAGTTATTGCACATTGATGGCCATGACTTGCAGAAAATGAATCATAGCCTTCAGTGTATGTATTAATAAATGTGTGTGTGTGTGGTGTGACCAGAGCATGCCTTTACTCTATTAAAGCTGTAGGAGTTATTTATGAAACTTAATATTTATGCCCTTAATACTTCAAATAAATCTCTTTTTCATTTTGATTTTGGGAATTTTTTATAGAAAAAAATAGTGTTAATATAACCCTTGAAGCTAATTTCTAAGATGGCTTAGTTATTTGTAAGAAGTACTGTTTTCTTAGCAAAGTATATATTCTAAGAACTGGAAGGCTAAGATGTTAGTTGATTTGTTTCTATTCAGAATTGTATAGTTCTATTAAACTTTATAGAATTGTATAACTCAGAATTGTTAAACTCAGAGTAGCATCAAATATCAAAATGAAAGGGTCTATAAAAGTTGTTCACCAGGCTTTTTGACCTTTTCAAAAAGGCCTCTTTTTTTTGTCTAGGCCTCTCTCTTTTCAATGGATAGTTTTTATTGTTGACAGTATTAGAGAAGTCTCTGTTTACCCCTCTTTATCCCATCCTCCCAGCGCCTACCCACTCCCCCAGATCTTTAATAATATGAAAAAAAAATAGTTAGTGCAATCTGAAATTCAAAGCAAGTTAACAAAATATTATCACCAAAGGGTGGGAGGGGAAACAAAACAAAATAATGTAATCCATAATAATAAAAGCATAATATGCTAATTAGACTAGACAGCTGAATGACCTTCCAGACATCATTTGGGATGTTCTTCAGGATGAAGCCACAGTGGCAGAGGCTAAGCAGAGGCAATCAGGCAGGCAGGTGAGCAGTTAGGGGCAATCAGGCAGGCAGACAGGTAAATGGTTAAGGGTGATCAGGCAGGCAGGCAGAGTGCTTAGGGGTGATCAGGAAGGCAGGTAGGCAAGTGGTTAGGGGCATCAAGCAGGCAAGCAGAGTGGTTAAGGGCAATGAGGCAGACAGGCAGGTGAGTGGTTAGGAGCCAGTAGTCCCGGATTGCAAGAGGGATGTCTGACTACCTGTTTAGGCCCTATCCCTGTGCAGTCGGATGTGCAGTCGGACATCCCCTGAGGGGTCCCGGATTGCAAGAGAGTGCAGGCCAGGCTGAGGGACCTCCCCCATGCACAAATTTTGTGCACTGGGCCTCTAATAGAAAATAATTTTCTCCCCCCCCCCTTTTTTTTTTTTTTGTAAATCACATGTGGCTTTCAGGCTCTGATACCAGCCTTTTAGAACATCTCCCTAGCCTCTGTTGGAAATAGTTGACTAGATTAACACCCTCATTTTACAGATAAAAAGACTGAGGTTTAAAAACTCAAGGAATGCTCATGCACTCAGCTTATTAGGAGCATAACTCAGTCAAAAGCCCAGGCATCCTGTTGGCTGCTCTATGCTTTGCCCATAGCATTCCCACCTGGGTCCTTTAAGGATATTGTCTCTGTGAAGGAGACATCTTAGCCAGCATCATCTCCCTGTATCTGATGATGCTGACAGTTCCAAAGGTTATCCTGACTTTACATTGTCACAGCAGCAAGGGGGCAGAGGCCAGGAGAGACCTGCTAAGCCTGACTAGTCTGTGGGCCGTGGCTTATTTTTATTTTACTTATTTCATCTGGACATTTGTACCACAATAACATAGAATCACTTCCGTGGTAGAGCTTCTGGGGAATAGATGGGACAAAATCTAACTCTAAAAATGGATTCATTTATGAAATAAAATTTGGGTCTTTTACCATATTGAAAGATGGTTGTCTCTGAATAATTCAACAGATCCTCTCAAATATCTCATTTCTTCTTCTTCTTCTTTTTTTTTTTTAATAGTGTGTCCGGTGGAGAGTTGTTTGATCGAATAGTGGAGAAGGGATTTTACACAGAGAAAGATGCTAGCACTCTGATCCGCCAGGTCCTGGATGCTGTCTACTATCTCCATAGAATGGGCATCGTCCACAGGGACCTCAAGGTAAGACCATGGCTTAGTAACATCCTTCAGCTGCTTTCCAACTCATAATGCACCTGCCCAAGAGGATTGGTTTCAGAAGAGGGATGGGGTTGCCTTGATGTGGATAAGGGTGGAATAATGGTGGGCATTTGTGTACTGTTGGTCATCTGGGCCTTTGTGACTCAGAAGTAGCTTGAAGGAGAATGAAGGTGAGTGGGGCTGGCCATTGCCTGGGGGATTTTATAGTCATAATGCCAAAAGGCAATCAAGAGGTACGTTATGTATTGATTGAAGTTTACCTAAAAGTAATTTTGTTCAAGATGTACAGGACACAAAGACCCTTTTTCCAGTGCAGTTCTCCAGTCTTCTCCTCATTGCATCTCTGTCTTGGCACAACATGCTATATGGGGGAGGGGAGGGAGGAGAGAGTGGGTAAAGAGCAGGAGATGAAAGAGAAGAGAAATGGAAGGTTATCAGGAAAGATAGCTTACATGAACTACAATGACAGCCTCTATAATGTATTGGGTTTCTTTCTCATAATTTCCTTGTGAGAAAGGAAATTTGACATCTTTACCCTTCACTCAATAGCACTGAAGAACTTGGGCCATGTTTGGGCACCTTGGAAATACATCCCTCCCAGGTCTATGTCAATACCAAAGGGCAGATAACGAACATATCATTTTGAGGAACAATATAATTAGCATTGTTGACCCAAAGCTGTAATGTGGTTTCATCTATAGCAGTTCCAGGTCTAACCCCCGGTGCTCACTGCACCCTTCTAGGTAGAAACCCCCCCCCCCTCAGCATGCATACCCACCACTTACATCATAAACACAGGGATTATATTATACTGAATACAGGGCTATTGGAGATTTAAACCAATTTAAAGAATGAATTCTAAGCAGGAGTGAAAATGGAATTTCAATATCTCCTGTTATCTGGTACCAGGAGTCAGGGTATAAAATGGTGTAGCTTTTCCTTTAATAAGCACTCACTATAAAGTTTTCTCTTCTTCTCTCCATGTTATCATTTTCTATTGACTAGGCTAGTGGCTCCCAAACATCAGTCTGTGTCAGAATTGTCTGGAGGGCTTGGAAAAACACAGACATGGCCCCACTCCAGACATTCTGCCTCTGTAGATTTTCAGTGGGGCCAGAGAACTTGCATTTGTAAGGAGAGTCTAGGTGATACTGATATTGGCTTGAGAACCACTCTTGGTAGGTGAATTTAAAACCACTGGATGAGAGTATTTAGGAATGTTGATCAAGTCTTACCTGTCACCTTTTGCAGTCTCTTCCTCCTCCTCCTCCTTCTTTTCCTCCTCCTTCTCCTCCTCCTTTTTTTCCTTCTCCTCCTCCTTCTCCTCCTCCTCCTCTTCCTCCTCTTCTTCCTCCTCCTCCTCTTCCTTCTCCTCCTTCTCTTCCTCCTTCTGGTTAATCCTCACTCAAGGATTTTTTTTTCCATTGCTTTTTTAGAGAGAGTTGAAGGAAGGAATGGGAGTGGGGGGAGTTGGGAGAGAAATATCAGTATGAGAGACACATCAACTAGTTGCCTCCAGCAAGCACCCTGACCAGAGCCAGGGATCCAACCTGCAATCCTGATCATACGTGCCCCAGATGGGGAATCAAACCTAAGACCCTTCCATGCACAGACTGACTCTCTAACCACTGACCAAACTAGCCAGGGCCTTTCAGAGGGAGAGGCAATGTGTGTTTATTTGAGACCAATGAGAATATTTGGTTATCTACCATTAATCCAGGCAGAAGCCCAGATCGTGTTCTGATTGAGAGACAAAGAAAGGCTAGGGAAGGGGAACAACTCTATCAGTAGAAGGAAGGTGTTTCTGTTGGTACAGGTAACATAACTTAGGGATGTTCATTCTAAATAGTTTTTAATTTTCAATCCATTAGTCATTAGAACTGCTTTCTTGTTATCGTTGTATACAGTGTTTTTGGGAAACAACATTTCCCTGGGCCCAGTCCAGAGGTTATTTTGCCCTGTTGGTACCATCTCAAGGTCCCTCTGGCATGGCAGCTCTGCTTACCTTCTCATTTTCACTGGATTGCCTCCAAACGGGGTTATTTTTTTTTAAGTAGGGAAAATACTAATAATAGGACAGGGTCTAACATTTATTGAAAACCAGTAAGTGCCCTTTCCAGTGTTTCATTCAAGACCACTCTTCTTAATGATTCACTACATCTAAAGATCAAGTATATTTTTGAATAGTGAATAGATTTTGTGGTTTGGTGAGTTCACAATTAATCTGCTCTAAAAACAGTTTGTAAATACTTTTCTTTTTTTTTTTTTTTTTTAGCCTGAAAACCTCTTGTACTACAGTCAAGATGAGGAGTCCAAAATAATGATCAGTGACTTTGGATTGTCAAAGATGGAGGGCAAAGGAGACGTGATGTCCACGGCCTGCGGGACCCCCGGTTACGTTGGTGAGGACAGTGTGTGTGTGTCCCTGCATGTCACTCTCATCAGTCTTCTTAAGCATTTGTGGCTGGCACATGATCACAGCCTCCTACATTTCCCTTGAGAGAAGAATAAAATGAGGGAGAGACTCTGGAAGGAGCTGGAAGGGAAGGGATTCCGCTTGAAACCTTTTAAGAGTTGGGGAGAAATCCTATTTGATTGGGGTGAAGGCCTAACTTGGAGGCCAGGAGTTGATTTGGATGAATTCCCAGATTCTAATACCAGAAATGTTCATATGTTTATGTTTTCAAATACTTTACAGTGAGATTCTAAGATAACAATAAGGTGCAAGCACAAAGAAAACATTTAGAATGCTGAGTTAGAAGCAGCTTGGAGTAAAATGTGGATAGGAGGACTCTGGTTGGAACCTTAATGAAGTCATTCTCTCAAATTCGCCAGTCTTGATCTGCACCAGAGAAACCAAGAATGAAAGTTTCTTTAAAATGAGAAGCCCAGGCTTTTTGTGCTAAACATGGGGAGGCCGAGGAGGCTACTGACAGATGGGAACACCTGGGCCCTGAGATTCACCTTCTGTCTTCTGGGACTTGGAGAAAAGCCATTGGAACTCTTTGTGAAGTCTTTGAGACTTTCATTTACAGGAATATATTCATTCCACTCAGCAAATATGTATTAAAGTGCCTGCTATGTATCAGATGCTGTTCTAGGCACTGGGGTGATGGCAGTGAATGAGCCTGTCCTCATGCAGCTTACATTGTGGTTGTGAGCAACACACAGTAAACAAAGAAACAAACAAATGAACAGGGTTGTTTCAGATCATGGTAAGTGCTATGAATAAAAGGAAAAAAAGGGCCTGTGATAGAATAACGAGGGTGGAGAGGGATTGGAGCTGGGTTGAGGGGATGGGCAGGAGACTTGGGCAGCCAGCCATGGGAATTTGGAGGATATACATTTCAGGTAGAAGCATCAGTGTGTGCAAAAGCCCTAAGTGGGAAAAAGCCCAGGGAGAGTGTACAGACTAGAATGTCTGAAAATAGTTAAAACTGAGGTTGGAAAAGACTTTTAGAAAACGGAGATTAAGGCTGAAATCCTATGCAAACCATGATGGTTTTTCTTAATGAGAATAGGAAGCCTGTCCCGGAATATTGTACAACCAACATCATTCCTGTCTGTCTTTGGTAGCAGCACAAGGTCTTCCTCAGAGGCTGAGGAAAATAGGCCTCACTGTGGGCCTTCAGGCCTAGAGCTTGTGGGAAACTCCAGGGCCCAGCCTTACAAGTATTTGCATAATAATGGATGATATGTCAGAGCTGTTGCATTTTTAAAGGAACTCACCAGAGAGGAGAAAAGAGCAGGCTGAGGGGATACCATGAGAGACAAGGAGATTTCGAAGGAAGGGATAAAGGCGGTGGGGATGTGGCAGGGGATACTAAGGAGTGCTCAGTGCTTGTTCTTGACTGGTGCAGAAGTTTGTGTCCCTGGGTTGTGTGCATGCATTAGACAGAGAACAGATTGTTCTGATCCTAATTAAGAGAACAGCATGGGCCTTGATGGAGATAATGGCATAGTCAGCCATCTCTGTTCTAGGAGAATAAAGTGTTAGTCGCAGGAATAGGCTGGGTCCTGTTAGGGACACCAGAAGTTGTGGCTGTGTCACATATGTAAATACATGTTTATGCCTTGGTGGGGCGGTGGGCAGACACTTGAGCATGTGTGGTGTGCCTGTGGAATTTCTCCAGCTTAGTCCAAGCCATCAGGCAAGTAGCTAATCGAAACAGATGGACAAGCTTATTCTCATTTCTCTGAGAAGATGGGGAGGAAGAAAGTTCAGACCACAGACGTTAGAAAATGAGGTCTATGAGCTCATGGTGTCCAGGGCCCTTGCCAGGAGGCTCTGCTTCTTCAGCGGGCTGGTGCCCAGGCTCTCTGAGCCAAGACGCTTCAGAAGGTGAGGTGGCTACCCAGTGTCCTCTTTTGGGAAGTCAGCTCTGGGGCGATGATTTAATGTTCTGACAAAGAATGTCCATATTTACATGTGCATCACACTGCTCTCATATTTGGCTCTGACGTTGGAAAGCTTTAGCACTTTCTAAATTGGTTTTTGCTTTTTTGCATCTTGGCAGAGCCCGCAGAGGGCAGATTCTCTGAGTCTCTAAGTGGCTGCCATTGTCTGGTCTGGTTCTTGTTTAGATGTCAGACGCTGATGAGTCTGGGAACTGGGGACAATGTTTGGATGTGGCCCTTATTCCTACTACCCAAAATTAAGGCCAGAGGAGCCCTCCAGTAATCTTCTCATCAGGTATCAAGTTCTCTGTAAATGGGGAGGAGAAGAAAATTGTGGAAATACAGAAATCCTGTTTCTTCATGTTTAAGCACTTAGACTCCTAGAAGACCTTTGAGAACGAGGCAGGGGACAGATAGGGAGGCTCCTGTCTATGTAGACATACCTCAGGCAATGGGCGGTGTTTCGTCCCCTGCAGTCTACATGGCAAACTCCTATGCAAAGCCCTGCTTACATGCGATCTCCTTGTGATTGCTTTCTCAACACCCATCCTCTCATTTGCCACCCCAGTGCTTTTCCTTATCCTTTCCCATCATGGCTCTGATTACATTGTCTTGGGGTTCGTTTCCATTTGTGTCTCTCCCCACCACGCTGGGTTTTTTTTCTAGAGCAGGGAGTGTGTCTTATTAATCTTGGCACAGATGCTTGTTGACTAACTAAAAGTCCCCAAGGTTCTGAAAATCAGCAACTTTTTTTCTTCCTCTTCTCCCTTTGTATTCATTCAGCCTACAATTTATTGAATTCTTATTATGCACTCTGCACAGTGGTTTGCTGATAGGAATACAAATATGAATAAGACATATTTCTTCACAGTCAGTATTACTGAGAGAGATAGAGGGCAACCAGGTACATTGAATAATGTATGGTAAGCACTACATTATTCAACCATTCAAGAATTATTTATTTAGTGCCTACCATCTGTTCTAGGCTCTGAGGATACATCAGTAGAAAGAAAACAAACAGATAAAGGTTCCACCCTCATGGCACTTACATTTGAGTGGGAGGGAGACAGATGATAAGCAAACAGCTAGGCATGTTAATTAGCACCTTGGATGGTGATAAGTATTCTGGAAAAAAATAAATCAGTCAAGAGATGAGTGTGTGTGTGTGTGTGTGTGTGTGTGTGTGTGTGTGTGTAGGTGGTTGTAGTTTTAATAATGGTGATGAAGGCAGCTCTCACCTAAGATGGTGGTGATGAGGTAAAGACCTGATCCAAGTGAAGAAGCTGGCTGTGCTGTTATTTGGAGGAAAAGTATTCCCAGGGTGCTGCAAAGGCCCTGAGGCATGGAGAATGGAATGAGCAGGGAGGAGAATAGGGCAGATAAAGTCAGAGAAGCAATGGGAATGGCAGGTAGAGACCAGGACTACAGGTCATTGTCAAAATTGTGGCTTTTACTCAGTTGGCGAGAAGCTATTAAAAGGTTCTGAGGGAAGGCATGGCATGATCTGACTTTTACCAGGATCCCTCTAAGGTACAAGTTGGCAAAGTGGACATGGTGAGAAGTTGCCAGATTCCACATATAATTTGAAGATAGTATCATCATGATTTTAAAAATATATATCTTATTGTGTGTGTGTGTGTGTGTGTGTGTGTGTGTGTGTTTTGTTTGTTTGTTTTTTGGTTTTTTTTACAGAGAGGAAAGGAGAAAGATAGTTAGAAACATTGATGAGAGAGAAATATTAATCAGCTACCTCCTGCACACCCCCTACTGGGGATGTGCCTGCAACCAAGGTACATGCCCTTGACCACAATTGAACCGGGGACCCTTCAGTCCACAGGCTGACGCTCTCTTCACTGATCCAAACCAGTCAGCTATTATCATGATTTGAAAAATTGAAAGAGAAATCCAGGGTAATTCCAAGGATTTTTGGTGTGAGCACCTGAAGTGGCATAGTTGCCTTGAATTGAGATGCCCCTGGGAGGAGCAAGTTGCAGAAATATTGTCTGGGGTTTGGGTTTTCATTGATTAAAATCTCCAAGGTTAAGGAGGCTGCTGGAATATGAATGAGTCTGGAGTTCTGGAGAGAAATCCAGCCTGGAACCGTGCAGTCTTCTCGTTACACATGGCAGTTAAGTTCTGTGAAATCCCGTGAACCCTGAGTTAATGAAGTTGCTCTGAGGGAAAGATAGGGTTAGGTTCCTGGGGGGCCTCTGATCAAATTTTCAGCAACTGATCGATTCGTACCCTTGTTTTATGTGTATTTCTGTTCAATGACACCTAATTTAATATTATTGTCAATTTATTAACATTGAACTCATGGCCAACAGTACATGACTTGTGCTTGAACAAGATTTGTCAGACACATGTGTTTTCTCCAGAAGGCACATCCAGTCCTTCCTGTGCTTTAAGAACTCTACCCAGCACTTCAGCATTACAATTGGGGCCCATTTGAAACAGTGAAGTCAATAGAACACACAACAATGTGAAAAAATGTGGTACCAATTAGACCATAAAAACAATACTTATTTATAGTGTAAGAGCCAAAACAAGAGGGCAGAGCATTGCCACTTTTGACCTCACCTGGGAATGTGCACCATGGACAACTCAAAGGTTTGGCCACTCTGCTCATGTCCACAAATGACCACAAAAGCATCACGTATGGATTTGGGGGCTAGAAGTGAATTTTAGCGAGTAGGCAAATTAAAAGATATGAAATACGTGAGTAATGAGGATGACTGTTTTTGGGAGCTGATGTTCTCCGGATGCATTTTAAAGCCAGGAGCCTAGATAAGATTGCAAGCCGGGTAGGTATAGACCAGTGGTTCTCAACCTTTCTAATGCCGGGACCCTTTAACAGAGTTCCTCATGTTGTGGTGTCCCCCAACTATAAAATCATTTCCGTTGCTACTTCATAAATGTAACTTTGCTACAGTTATGAATCATAATGTAAATATCTGTGTTTTTTCTTGGTCTTAGGTGACTCTGCTAGCAGTTCTCAACTGCT